ATGCACCTACGTGTTTTTTTATTGCTAGTTCATCTTCATTATACTTATATTATAGTCTCTACATTAATTTCTTCATTAATTAATGAGTGGTTACGTGAGTATAAACAAGATTTTTTTTAAATTCTTTTGACAAACTGTTCGTGACAACTATACAGTATTCCTTCAGCTTCACTTTAATGATATCTCACTATAATCGTCGTATAATTTTTTATTACTAGATATTCCAGAAAAAATCATTTCATTGATTCAAACATATCAATATCTGTGTGCCACACCTTCCAATTTTCATAACTGATATCACATTTTATTCATTTCTTCATTTGATTATTGATTTCAAATATCAACAACAAAAAAATTATCAAGCAATCCAGACAAATTCATGACAACTGTAGGATACTCCTTTCACTAATTGATATCACACATTAATTTAAATTAAATTGATCAGTGGTAATTCCAGTAAATTAGACAATTTCATTTCTTCAACAAGCAATCACAACAAATACATGACAAACATGTCACACTCCCTAGACTTTGCCTTGACATCACAATTATTTATTACTTATTATAAGTTTATTTATTAACTTAATCAAGTTTATTCTTTTAACACGAAAAAGCATATAAAGTTTCATGACAATTGAGCACTGCTCCATTTTCGCTAATATTTTTTTTAATTTGTGGGGGGGCAGTGTTCATGGGCAGTCAAAATTTACATCGTCCATGAACTTTTCGAACAATCCTTGTAGAATATTATACCATCTTGAAACTGTTACAGGTTTGTGAAGGTTTGGATACTTATGCCCTGTTCACACGACGAGTTTAATTCACAGTAAATTAATGCAAAGTAAACTAATGCGAATCAAATTAATGCGAATTAAATTGCGTTCACACGACAGCTAATGCGAAGTAAACTAATGCGAATTAAAATTTTTTCTTCTACAGTCAGGCGTCAGTAAGTCTATTATGACGTCATTTGTAAATCACGTCATGTATGTAGAGCCATCCTTTGATACATCATGTAGTGGCTACAGGTATTCATTGATTTTAGTGATTAACATGCTTTCCCTCAATTTTTGAACCAAATATAGCACAAATACCTATATATAACCACCAACACGAGTCCTGTGACTTAATTCTGGCCTTACGCATGCGTCAAAATTTAATTCGAATTAGCTTCGCTTAGCGTTCACACGGAGCTAATGCGAAGTAATTTAATGCGCAGTAAATTAATTCGAATTAAACTAATTCGCATTAAATTCTCCGTGTGAACGCTAAGCGAAGCTAATTCACAGTAACTTTACGTTTAATTCGAATTAAACTCTCCGTGTGAACAGGGCATTAGCCTCTAGATACTGTTATAGATTTTGGAAGGTTTTGTAGACTTTCCCTCTAGACACAGCTACAGATTTGGGAAGGCTTGGAGACTTTCCCTCTAGATATTGTTACAGATTTAGGAAGGTTTGGAGAATACACTCTAGATACTATTACAGATTTGGGAAGGTTCTGAGACTAACCCTCTAGATACTGTTATAGATTTGGGAAGGTTTGGAGACTTACCCTCTAGATACTGAGTGAGTTTAGGAATCACTGTATCCCAGAGTTCCACTAGATTGTCATTGAGGTTTGGAGACATTCCCTTCATCAGCTGCAGAACATGAATCCCCCTATCTCTGTTGTTTTTGGGACAACCAGCTAAAACCTAAATTAAATATTATCTAATAATTTAATAGAATTCATTTCTCTGTCTTCTAAGGCGTAGTATGTAAGAAACACGTATGTAAGATTAACGAATGTGACATTCAAGAGGATTTACATTGTCATAATGTTTTTTAACACATAAAGAATACAAGAGGCCCAGGGGCCTTGAATCGCTCTTCTGATAAATTGTACAATCTATCACTTCTATTCGAAGCCTCTTACTCTAAGTATCCCAAGAAGCATGAACTGACAAAGTTTGATGATTCTTTGCCAGTTAGGACTGAAGATATTTCAGTATAGCTATAAATTATCATTATTAGGACATGGTGAACTACTTTTTGATTTGAAACTTTCTGAGGACTTAAGATGCATTAATTGACAAAGATCTATGGTTCTAAGCCAATAAGTATACCTCAAATATTTAAGTAGGTCACTGTGACCTTCTTATGGTTGACATTCTCTGAGGACCAAAGATGCATCAACTATCAGAGTTTGATGATTCTAAACCAATAAGTACCAGAGATACTTAAATAAAGCCATAAAATGTCAAAAATAGGTCACCGTGACTTACTTTTTGGTCGACATTTTCAGAGGACCAAAGATGCATCAACTGACAATGTTTGATGATTCTAAGCTAAAAAGTATTTGAGATAATTAAAAGGTAGGTCACAGTGGCCTATTTTTTGGTCGACACTCTCCGAAAACCGAAGATGCCTCAACTGACAATGTTTGATGATTCTAAGCCAATAAGCATCTGAAATAATCAAAAGGTAGGTCACTGTGACCTACTTTTTGGTCGACATTTTCCAAAAACCCAAGATGCCTCAACTGACGTTTGATAATTCTAAGCCAAAAAGTACCTCAGATATAACCATAAAACGTCAAAACTAGGTCACAGAGACCTACTTTTTGGTCAACATTCTCCGAAAAACCAAGTTGCATCAAATGACATTTTAGTTTTGATAATTCTAAGCAAAAAAGTACCTAAGATACTTAAATATAGCCATAAAATGTCAAAAGTAGCTCACCATGAAATCCTTTTTCAGAGGACCCAAGATGCATCAACTGACAATGTTTCATGATTCTAAGCCAATAAGTACCTGAGTTAATCAAAAGTAGGTCATTGTGACCTACTTTTTGTTCGACATTCTCCGAAAACCCAAGATACCTCAACTGACAACGTTTGACAATTCTAGGCCAATAAGTACCCAGGATACTTGAATATAGCCATAAAATTCAAAAATAGGTCACAGTGACCTACTTTTTGGTTGATATTCTCCAAAAACCCAAGTTGTATCAACTGACAAAGTTTGATGATTATAAGCTAAAAAGTACCTAAGATACTTAAATATAGCCATAAAATGTCAAAACTAGGTCACAGTGACCTACTTTTTGGTCGACATTCTTCGAAAACCCAAGTTGTATCAACTGACAAAGTTTGATGATTATAAGCCAAAAAGTACCTAAGATACTTAAATATAGCCATAAAATGTCAAAAGTAGGTCACTGTGACCTACTTTTTGTTTGACATTCTCCGAAAACCCAAGATACCTCAACTGACAACGTTTGACAATTCTAGGCCAATAAGTACCCAGGATACTTAAATATAGCCATAAAATGTCAAAACTAGGTCTCAGTGACCTACTTTTTGGTCGACATTCTTCGAAAACCCGAGTTGTATCAACTGACAAAGTTTGATGATTATAAGCCAAAAAGTACCTAAGATACTTAAATATAGCCATAAAATGTCAAAAGTAGGTCACTGTGACCTACTTTTTGTTCGACATTCTCCGAAAACCAAAGATACCTCAACTGACAACGTTTGACAATTCTAGGCCAATAAGTACCCAGGGTACTTAAATATACCATAAAATTCAAAACTAGGTCTCAGTGACCTACTTTTTGGTTGATATTCTCCGAAAACCCAAGTTGTATCAACTGACAAAGTTTGATGATTATAAGCTAAAAAGTACCTAAGATACTTAAATATAGCCATAAAATGCCAAAACTAGGTCACAGTGACCTACTTTTTGTTCGACATTCTCCGAAAACCCAAGTTGTATCAACTGACAAAGTTTGATGATTATAAGCCTAAAAGTACCTAAGATACTTAAATATAGCCATAAAATGTCAAAAGTAGGTCACTGTGACCTACTTTTTTTGGTCGACATTTCCAGAAGACCGAAGATGCATCAACTGACAAAGTTTGATGATCATAGGTCTGAAAGTATTCAAAATATGCCATTTAAACAATTTGAAAATAAATGCCTGCAAAATTCAAAAAGTAGGTCACAGTGACCTACTTTTTCATAAATATGTTTTAAGGCCCCAAGATGCATCAACTTACAAGATTTGGTGAAGCTAAACCTCTCAGTATCTGAAATAATGGGATTAAATGTTTTAAAAAAGATGAGCCATAAAATTCAAAAAGTAGGTCACAGTGACCTACTTTTTAGTTGACCTTGTTTAAGGACCCAAGATGCATCAACTGACAAAGTTTCATGATAATAGGCCTTAAAGTGTCCAAAATATGTCTCCAAATCAATTTGAAAACAAAAGCCCATAAAATTTAAAAAGTAGGTCACCATGACCTACTTTTGTGTTAACATGATGTGAAGTCCTAAGATGCATCAACTGACAAGATTTGATGATCCTAGTCTTTATAGTAAGCAAAATATCAACATTTTTATTAAGTGTAAATTTTGGTTAACTTTGAAGTGACCTTGAGACCACGCCCTTTGCCCCAGGGTCATGCCTTGAACAATTTTTAATCTCCAACATATCTTGAACCTTGTATGTAAGTTTGATGAAAATCTGTCTGGTGGTTCTGGAGAAGAAGATTTTTTAGCAACCAGTACTTTTGGTTCTATTTTCCTGATTATCTCCCCTTGTTTTAGGGTCCCAACCCTAGTTTTAATATAAATGGTAGCCCTTGGGCCAAGGATACCCTGTAACAAATTTGACAATGATTGGCCAAGGGGTTCTTGAGTTATGGCCAATATTCTAAAAAGTTAACGCACACTGCACACCGCACGACACACACCGCACAAATGGCCATAGCATTAGCTCTTTGAGCCTTTGGCTCAGAAGAGCTAAAAAGTCAATTTTCTAAACTGCCACATAAATTATCATGCACTTATAGGCATTAAAATGTATCCTACTTTTAAGTTGATTTAACAATCACTGAAGAGTTCTATATATCTCATTAAAATCTCATATATTATAACAGTTACATGTATAAAATGCACAATTTATACTTCTTCAACATTATAAAGAAATATTTATAAATTATACAGAACTTATATACAAACCATTAATCTTGCTATCATGACATTTGGTTTCGGGGTGTTCGCTGAAAAAGAGAAATAAAGATTTAAATACTTATACCTTCTAGAACTTCACAAGAAATTATGTCTACTGAATGAGAGTTGATACTGTTGTTACCCAGGACGTCGTAGTCCAGATCGTAATCCTCGGCCTTCTCCTCTCGTTTCTTGTTGGCGAGGTGGGCCAGACATTTACAGACCACACAGCCTGCCTCTGTGTACTGTTCGGGCACAATCATCTCCAGTAAGAAGGGCCATAATACCTACAAGTTCAAACAATGGATTACTTAGAGGCAAGTACAAGTACTTGTTTGACCAATTTAAGTTAATTTCTTAAAATACATGTTATTTTTGAAAAGTGGATACTTATTTCTAAGATACATTTCTGAATCTTTGACCTCCAAAACAGAGATTCATACTAGGAAATTACCAAAAAGTGTTTCGTAATTTTTTTTTTCATAATTACAAAAGTAGCATAAGAGTCAGAAATAAAAGAAATTATCACATAA